CTAAATTTACTCACCCCTCATAAACATAATTTTTAGTTGTTTCGGGGGGAGCGTCAACATATCATGTACCATAGCTTCCAGCAGAAGTGGCCGTCTTAAATCTCCCCTCATGTCCCTCCGGGTTCGGGTCCATTGCCAAAGTCCCTTGGCCTGCCACCAGGCCGTGGGCACTTCCCCTAGGGTTCCCTGTCAAGCCCCCTGCGGAGGGGGGTGTTGGATGGGGCGCAGCCTCAGGTCCCTGCTGATTGCTCATTAAGGCTCATTACGGGAACTTGGCCTCCACTGTGGGTGCAGCCATCTTGTGTTACAGAAACCCCGTCTCTCTTGTGGGCACAGCCATCTTTGTGGTGGAGCGATGGTCAATTTGCATATTCCCTCTTTATTATATAGGATTGCAATTCCCATGTGGCCCTGGAAGGAGGTGAATGTAGCTTCAACCTGCTCCATCCCCAGCCTGGGTTCCCTTGACTTTATCATGGGCAGTTTATGTTGTGTCTGAGTGTGGATATCTTTGAGTTTATCCTTCATGGAGTTTCTTGAGTGTCTTGGATATATAAATTAATGCATTGCATAAATTTGGGATATTTTTGGACATTATTATTTCAAATATCCTTTCTACCCCTCTCTCTCCTTTCCTGCTGGTAGTTCCCTATGTGTATGTTAATATACTTGATGGCATTATACAGGTCTCTAGGCTCTGTTTATTTTTCTTCATTAATTTTTCTTTTTTTTCTTAGACTTGATATTTTTAATTGATTTATAATTAAAGTTTGCTGATTCTTATGTCTGATCAAACCTGCTATTAATTTCCTCTACTGAATTTTTCATTTTAGTTCATTTTCAACTTCACAATTTCTATTTGCCTCCTTTCTACACTTTTATCTCTTTATTGATATTCTCTATGGGTAAGATGTAATTATCATACTGCCCCTTAATTCTTTAGACATGGTTTTATTTAGTTCTTGGAACGTATTTGCAATAGCTGATGTAATGTCTTTGTCTGGTAAGTTTGGACTTGCTTCAGTGTAGTTCTGTTGACTGCCCTGCCCCCCCCACCTTTGTGTGGCCCATACTTCCTTTTACTAGGCATGCCTTACAGAACATTAAGTCTTTAAATAATATGTGTGGCAATTCTGGAAATCACTCTCCCCTCTCCTGGGACTTGTTGTGGTTGGTGCTGTTGTTGGGTTGTTTGTTTAGTGACCTTTCTGAACAAGTTCTATGACGTCTGTATGTTTGTTGTGTGTGGCCACTGAAGGCTCTGCTCTGTTAGCTTAATGTCAGCTAAGTGGATGAAGATTTCTTTAAATATTCTAAACCAGTCAGTCGCAATCTGCCAAGGTGCTCTCTCTCTCTCTCTCTCTCTCTCTCTCTCTCTCTCTCGTTAATCCTTACAGGGGATATTTTCCCATTGATTTTTAGAGAGAGTGGAAGTAAGGAAGAGAGACACATGACACACAGAGAGAAATATCAATGTGAGACTGACACAGCTATTGGTTGCCTCCTGCAGGTGCCCAACCTGGGACGGGGGATTTAGCCTGCAAGTGAGGTACATGCCCTTGACCATAATCAAACCTGGGACTCTTTGGTCCACGGCCAACGCTCTATCCACTGAGCCGAACCAGCTAGGCAAGTGGTTCTCTTTGAGTGTTAGGGAGTGGTTTCAATGCTCAGCCAGACAATGACAAACTCTGCTTTCCCTTCACTTGCACTGAGCCTGGATGTCAGCCGGAAGTGAGAGCTAGGGCCATTGTGGGTCTTTCTTGAGCAGGAGCACAACCTTGTGCATGAAAACAGCCCTGCAATGTGTGTCCTTCTAGGTTCCCAGGGATATTTCTAACTCTTTCAAGGCCTCCTAGAAACAGCTCATTCCCCATTTAAGCTTTGTAGTTAGCCACAATATCATTTGCTGGTTAGTATCTACTGCCTCTTTCAGCCACAGTGTTCATTGTTTCTGACTGTTTTTGACAAGCACCATTGAAGAAAAGGCTGCCACCCTAGGCAGGCTCCAAGGGGCCTTCAGGGAACCACCCTCCAGGTTTACTACTTGTTGGTCCTCTACCAGTTGATAAACACTAAACACTAGTGAAGTTCGGTTTCTCACTAGTGTGGGTAAAACGGATGAAGTCTCACGTACATACTTCCTGTGGACACATTTTCACTTCTCTTGGGCAAACAGTCACAAGGAGAATTGCTGTAGCAAATGCACCCCGCTTTTCTAAGAAATGGCCATGGTGTTCTTCAAGCTGGCTGCACTACTTTGCTTTTCCTGTCAGGAACGCACGATGGATTCTGGTTGCTCCATGCTCTTGCCTACTCCTAGTTTTATCTGTATTTTACCTTTTAGCCATTCTTGTGAGTGTGTGGGCATCCCATTGCAGGTTTAATGTATGCCTCCCCGACGACTGATGTTGAACATTTCTTCATGTGTTGACGCTAACCCAGGGGTGGGCAAACTTTTTGACTCGAGGGCCACAATGGGTTCTTAAACTGGACCGGAGGGCCGGAACAAAAGCATGGATGGAGTGTTTGTGTGAACTAATATAAATTCAAAGTAAACATCATTACATAAAAGGGTACGGTCTTTTTTTTTTTTTAGTTTTATTCATTTCAAACGGGCCGGATCCGGCCCGCGGGCCGTAGTTTGCCCACGGCTGCGCTAACCCAGCATAAATGGCCTCTGCCCTTCCCCCATCAGCCTCTCTGGGTAAAAAGCCAAGTCCTCCCAGGCCTGGTGAATCCTTTGGCCAGTGGGGGCCTCCGGGGCCTCCCCTCTCTGAATTATCCTGGAAAGTTTGGCCCAGGGTGTGGCCCTTCCTGCAGGGCTGACTGATGACACTGACTTGCCCTCCAGGGCACCTAGGAATCTGAACTTACTTCCCCGGTAACCCCCGAGGAAAACGGCACAAGGACAAAGCCTCCTGGAGCTCTCGGAAGAGCTCAGACCCGAGCATTCTCTTGCCAACGGGGCAGGAGCTCTCCAGACAAAAGGGCCTCAGAAGCGCTCATGGCGAGCCCCCCAAGTACCCAGAAAGTCTCCCTGGAGACCGAGGGATGCTGAGGTCTTCACACAGGGTTCTGGGACTGTGGCATGACCCTGCTCAACTCACCTGTCTGTGCAGACTGATGAATTTTCCAGGGTCCCCATCCGCCCAGGGAGGGAGCTGCACGTCCCCCAGTGCCGTCCCGTCCTGCATGCAGCCTGAGGGGTGAGACACAGCAGGGCTTTGGTAAATGGGAGCGCAAACTGGACTAGGAGTCAGGGCGTAACACTGTGCTGTCCAGGACGCTGATCCGCGCAGATGGGGCTGTGGGCTGTGTTGCTCAGCAAAGATGGTAACAGCCCTGAGCTGTGGGGAAGAGCCACCGCCTCCCAGGCCTCCGCTCACCAAACTCCACGGCGTTGCAGTTGGTGAGGAACTCGGGCAGGAAGAAGAACTCCGGGGTCAGCTCCCGCACGTCACTCATGTTCTCTCTGGAGGCCGACTCCCATGCGCCCTTCACGCTGTGGAACATTCTGTCTGCCACATCGAAGCTCCCGCCCTGCAAGGAAAGGAGCGACATGAAGAGCTATCCACGGTGAGAACCCGGCCATGCGGCACCGCTGTGTGGGCCTCCATCTGTCCATCTGTGGCTGAGACGGGGGCCTGCCACTGGAACTCGTCACTCATTCCCCCACGCACGCTCATGCCTAGTCTGTGATGCGTGCGATGGCTCCTCACCCATCTATTCCCTCCATGTTCTCTGGTTGTGCTGGGTGCTTCCACAGAGGAGGCATGAATGACAACTGGAATAAAGGGGCAGACCAGAGAGGAGGCCACGGCCATGTGTCTGACCACTCCCCGCCTTTGCTGAGGGCCAGCTCTGAATCAGGCACAAGGACAGGGTCCAAAGAACCAACTGCAGGACCGAGAGCGGCTCAGACAGGCTACGTGCGGTCAGGGTTGGTTTCGTGGAGAAGTGGACCCCTGGAGAGTCCACACGCCCAGGGACAGAGAAGACGGCCGCGTGCTAACTACAGGACAAGAAACAGGGGGGGAAGCAGGTCAGGTCAGGCATCGGCCTAGCATGGCGACATAGAACATAGCAGCCCGAGAGGGGGAGCAGGTCGGGGTGGAGGCTGGGGGCACAGCGGCCTTTAAGGGATGGCCGCTGGTGTATGGAGAGAGGACTGCAGCCTAGCCAAGGCCACCTTGCTTCAGGGACCGCTTCCACAGGTGGCTGCAGGCACGCCTGAGCTTGGCAGCTTCTACTGGACCAGGTAAAGCTTAGGGCAGTTTTTCGATTCCCTGTTCTTCTCATTCAGCACATGGCCTTGGGGTTCAGAGGTGGCAGAGAGGTCCCCGTTGGAGGAATGGAGGCGCTGCGGGCAGAGGGGCTCCAGGAAAGGGTTTCTGATTGGGGCTTTGGGTCCACCTCAGTTCAGGGCCCCCTAGGAAAGCCCTCGTGCCTGGCAGGAAGGCCGGGCCTCCTTCAACTTCTCCAGAGCGCACGCGTGGCTCTAGGAACAAGGGGGCAGAACCACACAGTCGGCCCCCCTTGTTCCTCCCCGCCCCCCGCTGCCTCGCTTTCCAGCCGCCTAAGGTTTCCTGGCAGCATACAGGGCGGGCAAAGGAGGTTTACAGTAGTGAGTACGCGGAACAGTTTATTCCTGTATTTTTACTTATTAATGATTGTATTATTTTTCATATGAACAACTGTAACCCAATGTCCCCTCCGTATACCTAAGTGAAATGGGGCAGCTGCACGTGGATGAGGGTCGAGGAGGCAGGCCTTGTCTCGGCTCGTCAGCCAGCGTCGGGCACTGCACGCAGCTGCGCGGCCTGCGGCGGGCACTGGCCCCCGAGAGAAGCGGCACTTTCACTTTCGGACCACAAAGCAGGCTCAGCTGGTCCTGACAAAGCAGTGGGTGGCCGCACGGGGTCAGAGCCCTGGTCGCACTGCCAAAAGCCCTGCTCTGTCTCTTTGGGTTCACCGGGAACCCAGGGCCTGGCACACACTCCCGAGGCGCCAACCTGGGCATCGGGCTGTTGGCCAACTTTCCAAGTCAGGTATGAGGATCCCGTGAGATCGGCGGGTCACTCTGCACAGGGGCAGGGACACCGAGAGACCCCGCTGCCCCCGCTGCTCCAACCAAGCAGGGCACGGGACACGGGCAGCTTACAGATGGGCCTTCCTCCAAGGTCACTGTGCTCTCGGGTGAAACTAGAGGCTGCGTCCACCGCTTGAGTCAAATAGAAATGGAAACAAAAGCGGGGAGAGTGTTTTTAAACAGAGAGCTGCACCTCTGAGCGGCTCCCTGAAATGCATCACAGACGCATTTGTGTGTTGGATCTGCAGCCCCAGCCCTCGGCTCGGGAGACGGAGGCCCCTCCCGCCCGCCCGCTCTCCTGGTGCAGCCTTTATGAGAGCTGATGGTAACCTCCCAAGAAGCAATAGGATTTGGTAATAAAAAGATTACCTGTATTAAATAAAAATAATATATACATAGGAAATATTGTTAGTGCTACAAATCTGGTTAAAGATATTACCACAAAGAAAAATGTTATTTTTTCACAGCTGTCTAATGCATTTTAGCAAAAGTAATATCTTTAAAACTTAAGCCTGTATTATTTATAAAGGAAGCAATAACTGATTTTCCTATTTCCTATATTAATAAATGTATTTGCATACATTTGTTTCAAAATTAATGGGCTTTCTCACTCCTGCAATACAAGAGCCGCGCCAGAGCCCCAGAGAAGGAGCTGCCGTGCATGGGGCGTGGGGGTCTGTGGCTGACAAGCCCGAGGCTGCCAGCAGGAGGCCCATGGGGCTTGCCTCAGGAAAGGAAGGAGGAAAAAAGGAAGAGAAGGTAGAAGGATAAAGGGGAGAGAAAGAATGCGGCACAGGGGCGCAATTAAGGTTTAAAAGTGCCTTTTCATGAGGAAAGTCCCAAGCGAAATAATATAGAACAAAACTCAGTCTAGAGATGTGATGGAAGCAAAGTGATGAGAGAGAACTGCTGAGCCAGGATCTGCTCCTAACGCTGTTCTGTAGAGGCGCTTGGTCATCAGGAGCAATGGAGCCTGTGTGTCCTCACAGAACACAAAGGGACAGCAAGATCATTACCTGCAACGAAGGAGCAGCCTGCTCTTCGCACGGACTTCCCCAGGTGACACTGAATCAGAAGGCGAGGGGCTGAGGCTGGGGGTTCTGAGGCAAAGGTCATGGGCTTTGGGTTGGATGTGTGTCCAGCTATGATATTGCTCATATGTTAAGAATCCAGAAAGATATTTTGAATATTTAAGGGCTCAGAAGTAGGCCACCTTCTTATACCATATATAAGAATAAACTCAAAGTGGATTAAAGACTTAACTATTCGATTAGAAACCATAAAAATCCTACAAGGAAACAGACAGGGAAATCTCAGACATTTCTTATAGCATTATTTTTTTCTCACATATCTCCTTGTGCCAGGGAAGCAGAAGCAAAAAAACAAAACAAAAACAAATGGGACTACATGCAACTTAAAAGTTGTTGCACAGCAAAGGAAACCATCAACAAAATGAAAAGACAACCCACTGAATGGGAGAACATATTCACTAAAGATACATCTGATAAGGCATTGACATCCAAAATTTATAAAGTACTCAGACAACTCAACACCAAAAAGAAATTCAATTAAAAAAATGGGCAAAGGACCTGAATAAACACTTCTCCAAAGAGGATAGACTGATAGCTAATAGACATATGAAAAGACACTCAACATCACTACTCATCAGAGAAATGCAAATGAAGACCACAGCGAGCTATCACCTCCCACCTGGCAGAATGGCTGTTGCTGGTGAGGATGTGGAGGAAAGGGAAACTTCTGCACTGCCGGTGGGAATGCAGATTGGAGCAGCCACCGTGGAAAATAGTATGAAGCTTCCTCAAAAAATTAAAAATGGAACTGCCCTATGACCTAGCAATTCCACTTCTGCGAATTTATCTGAAAAACACTAAAACACTGATTCCAAAGAAAGTATGCACCCCTATGTTCCTTGCAGTGTTATTTACAATAGCCAAGATTTGGAAGCCGCCCAAGTGCCCATCAGTAGATGAGTGGATACAAAAGCTGTGGTACATTTGCACAGTGGAATACTATGCAGCTGTAAAAAGGAAATCTTATCCTTTGTGACAACATAAATAGACCTGTAGAGCATTATGCTAAGCGAAATAAGTCAATCAGAGAAAGACAAATGTTACATGATTTCACTTACATTTGGAATCCAATGAACAAAATAAACTAACAAACAAATAGAAACAGACTCATGGATACAGAGAACAGACTCACAGCTGTCAGAGGGGAGGGGGGTTGGGAGGATGAGTGAAAAAAGTGAAAGGATTAAGCCAAAAGAAGAAATTCTTAGACACAGACAACAGCATGGTGATTACCAGAGGGAAAGGGGGTGGGGGAAGGTAGAAGAGGCTAAAGGGAGGAAAATGGTGATGGAAGGAGACTTGACTTGGGGTAGAGAACACACAATACACTATGCAGATGATGTGATGTAGAATTGTACACTTGAAACCTATGTAATTTTATTAACCAATGTCATCCCAATAAATCAAACTTAAAAAAAGAATATGACCCTAGGTATCCTTCCTCAATCAAAATACTTTAAGAGGCACTAGATTTTCCTACACTCACCCACACTCACATTCTCACTCACCTACACGCTCACACGCTACACGCTAATTTTTAGATGAATCAAAATTAACAGCAGTGATGGAAGATGTGACTGACAGTGTGCTGCTGAATGTTGACAGTTAAAATCAGAGGGACATCCCTAAGGAAGGTCTGTGCCTTGAGAAGGAAACACCTCGAAGGCGCGCTCTCTAATAAGCACTGCTCTGCCTGAGGCGTCTGTGTGCACCGTCACTGCGAGCCTCCGATCGCGGCATTCTCAAACCCCAGTCCAATGTGGGCAGGAAACTTACCACAAACACAATCCATTCTTAACCCACAGGCACAGCAATCTCAGCACCTGCACGCGCTCATGGACACTCGCAGATACTGTGATAACATGTGCTGGAAGGCCATTCTCCCTTCCAGGGGGCACTGCCCGAAACCAACCTGCCCACACCTATGTACCGGGACCGGCTGTAGCACAGGCCGACTCCTTGTCCAGTCACTTGGAAGTGTGCCACTTGGAAGTGTGCCATGTGAACACTCACTACAGGGCCTGTGGGCCCAGCAGCTGAGCTAACGCCGCTGTCCTCTGCCAGAAGCACCTTAGCTTTGGAACCCAGCCAACTTGGGCTGGAATCTTAGCATCCACTCGCAGTGTGAACTGGAGTGAGTTTCTTACTGGAGTGAGTTTCTTAATCCCTTTAACCTCCCATAGCCTCCTCTGCACACCTGGATGACTGTGGTGGCTGTAAGTGTGAGTGTGGGTGAGTGTAGGTGTGTGTCAGTGTGCGGTGAGTGTAAAGTGTGTTAGTGCGTGTGCATACCCACGTGTGTGATGTACCTCGTGCTGTGCCAGGCCCACAGGAAGGGGTGTGGAATGAGCCCAGCCCCGAGTCCCTGTCCTGTGACCGACTAGGGACCCTGGGAAGCGATCCTGGGTGTGGGACAACCTCAGTGTCATGGGGAGGTGACCAGAGGCTCCAAGAGGAGGAGGGATGTGGAGGCTGTTGCAGTGGCAGGTGGAGTGTGGGGAAGAGGGAGGGTCGGGCTGGGATGGAACGTGCTCCAGCGTCCGCGGTTTCGCAGCTGAGACACGGCTCAGCTTTCTGTGGGCTTCTCAGAAAACCCGACCACGCTGCCCACTGAGCTCCGAGCTGTGGCTCCCATGGCAGACTTGGGAGGCCCACGGACCAGTTCAGCTCTCAGCCTTGCTCTTGACTGAGGCTGGGCTGACTCCAGAGGAGCCATTAGCTTTCCCACCTGTGGGGCATGGCCTTTTACTCAACAAGCAAAACCCTCAATGGCCCTGGAAAAGCCTGCTGCCTCCCCTGTGGGAGGAGAGGGCCTGCGGGGAGCACTTGGGTGGCCAGACGGTCCCCAGGCCGGGCCTCGCCCTCACAACTGCGGAGCCAGGAGAAACGAGGCTCGATTCCTCGGCACTGTTCCAATTAGAAAGTTCTAGAGCCAGGACTCTGTCCCCGGCCTGCGTGACTCTATGACTTCTGCCTTTCCTAACAGCCCTCCCTGAGTCAGAATAGTAAGAATTATACCTTCATTTTCCGCTCATCTCTGCCCAGACCCCGCGGGCCCAGAGGCTCACAGGTGACAGCCGGGGCGGCCACGCGCCGTGGCTCTCAGCTCTGCCTGCAGCGAGCATATGTCTTACAGGAAAACCAGCCGTCTCCCCTCAGGTGGTTCCGAAAACCCTTCCCCACCGCTGGTAGCAGCTGACTTCACACCGGCTGTGACTTAATTAACACAGCACTTTATTTCAGCTTCTGATTAAACGCAGCAGCCGCACCACTGTGCCCTCGCTGGGGCACCGGCTGCTCGCTGGCCCGCCCAGGCTGAGTCTGAGCGCAGGTCTGCGAGGCTCTTACTGGGGCAGAAGCAGGGCCCTGGGCTGTGGCCCAGCAGCGGCGTGCTCCCCCCCCCACCCCCCCCGGGTGCTCACAGACACTGGCTCCTCCGGTAGGTGAGGGTCCGAGAATTGCAGCTTCCTGCAGGCCGGTCCTCAGCCCTCAGCCCTCAGCCCTCAGCCCTGCAGTCTCGCCCCTGCTGGCATGGGGGTAACAGAGCAGCTGCGTGGTGCCTGGGTCACATGCCTGCAGGGTCACCTGCTCGGGCCCCACTGCACATAACCGAGGTCTCAGGCTGTAAGTCTGTCACTGGAATAACTGGTTTGGGGCAGAAAAACACTCACGGCAGTGATAGAGGTAGGCGTCCATTCTAAGGCCTGCCCGACGTAATGAGATCTAAGCGTGACAGGGATAGAGCACAGCGACCCTGGGAATCAGAATGTGCCTTACGGGCTGCTTGTGAAGGCCCACGTGCCAGCCACACCTCTCGGCTGGTGCCAGCGGGCAGGCTCAGTGCACCAGCCACACGGGGGCACCACAGAGCACACAGCTGTGCACACTGAAGGCACCAACCCGCCATGCCACCCTGCAGGGAAGCACTGGCTCCTTCAGGGCCGCAGGCAAGAGGCAGAGGCTGCTTAGGGCGGCGTGGGAAAGTGGAAACGCAGGTGCTGTCCGAGGGCCACTCGCAGGGACGCTGGCTCTGCAACCAGGACTCTCGCTGCCCACCGCCCAGAGGCATGAGGGAGCCCTCAGCGCCTGGGTCTGCACGCTCCCCCCCCCCCCCCACGGCCCACGGGGCTGCTGTGGAGAACACAGCGGTCCTTCCTAGCAGCACACAAGACTGAGACACGGTCTCTTGACAAGAAACGGGCCTGCCCCCGGAGGCAGGGCGGGACCCGGGAAGAGCCTGTGTTCAGGAAGATGCCAGACCTCGCTAAGGAGGTCTGTGCAGTCCCAGGACTCTCAAAGGAGAGCCGGGCCTGTGCCCAGACGGAGCCTGGGCACCCCTTCCCTGGAGAGTAAACCTCATCTTTCACTCTAGGGCAGTGATGGCGAACCTTTGAGCTCGGCGTGTCAGCATTTTGAAAAACCCTAACTTAACTCTGGTGCCGTGTCACATATAGAAATTTTTTAAATATTTGCAACCATAGTAAAACAAAGACTTATATTTTTGATATTTATTTTATATATTTAAATGCCATTTAACAAAGAAAAATCAACCAAAAAAATGAGTTCGCGTGTCACCTCTGACACGTGTGTCATAGATTCGCCATCACTGGTCTAGGGAAAAGCAAGGGCAGCTGGCTCTCTCGCTGGTTCTGAGGGCTTGGGCCAGTCATGAGACATGGGAAGAGCCAGTTAGAAGGAGCTGAGAGCAACGCGGAAGCACAGTGGAGAGCCGCACGTCTCAGCAGGCCACACGCCTCAGCCGGCCACACGACTCAGGCAATTTGAATGCAGAAAACCGGAGTCACTCAGACTTCACAAGGGGGACAAGGCCTGAGCAATGGCTGCAGCGGTGGCACTGAAAGCACAGAGCTGGTGCATAACCACGCCCGTGTCCTGAGGTGAAGTCCCGGGAGAAGATTTGCATCTTCCGAGCGGCAGCGCAGGTGAAAACCGCCCGTGGCCGCCCTTTCTAGTTCCCTCTGCCGCCCCTTTGGTGACAGACCCTGAGTGACAGGCCAGGGCCTTCGTGCACTAGACTGCAGGGCGAGGGGACCCTGAGGCCCAGAGCACCCCGCATGGAAAGCCGTACAGACGGCGTCACCCCATCAACAGCGCTCGTCATTTATGCTGTATTGATAGGCACAGGGTGGGGTTTCTGGCACAGGCACAGCTCCAGGACCCACTGTGCTCCAACCAAACTTACTTCACATGCTGGGCCCTGAGGAAGGCTGGGGACGCGCCACCCTTCCGAGTGAATCTCCAGGGAGAAGGCGGGCAGCGTCAACTGAGCCCACTGTGCACAGGGGAGAGGGCTGTGCATGGAGTGCATCTCAGAGGGCTCACCCTGACCTTGCCCGCCCTTCCCGCCCAGGACCCAGGAGCTAGCTTAGTGCTGACCTTGACTTGCTCAGACGAGTGACCACAAGAGTGACCTTGCTGGGGGGATAGACCAAACACATACATCCTGGGACAACCTTTCTCCTCCCCGGGGGAAGCTATGTGGTCAGAACAAGTCCGCTCACGTGTTCCTGGTCTGTCGCCCATTGCGGTCCCGCCTTCCTCTCAGGGGACCCTCCAAGGCCTGGCAGGTCAGCTCCTGCACTCGGGTGTGCGCTGGGTTTCAGGGGAGCCGGCAAGCCTCCTGGCTGCAGCGGGCAACCCGATGGCTCTCCCGTCAGCCTGTGGCCCTGGGTCGCCTGGGAAGCAGGATCCCAGGGATGAGGGCAGAGGAGAAGAGGGAAAAAGCCTTCTCTGTGCTCGCGAAGGCCTCCTGCCCACCAGTCAGACCTGCCCACCTCCAGCTCCACCAGGCGGCCAGGTGAATCACGGGAGGCCACGCTACCCTTGCACTTCAGATAAACAGCAGGGTTTATCTGAAATTCAAATTTACCTGAGCGTCCTGTGGTTTATTTACAAAATCCAGCAGCCCTGAGCTGGCCTGTAGGTCTGCTGGTTTATGGGTGAGCAGTTGATTAGTGTCTTTCTCTGATTTGCTGCTCATTTCAGTATTCAAATATTTTGTTTGTTCTTTTAAACCTCTTGGCTTGTGCTCAGCATAGCTTTAAGCATTCTGATGTCATTCTTCCTTCTTTGTGTTTATTTTTATAATCTTTGACCACCTACCTTCAAGGAAGTCCTTAAGCTTCCTGCTCTTCCTTTTCTACCAAAACCGGTTTATGTTAAGTTCTCCCCCCAAATATCTCTCATTTTTTTATATTTTTAAATCTTTTTGCCAGACTGTTGGGCAGATGTGCAGGTGTAAGTGATAAAGAGCACCTGCTTCCACCAGAACAGGGTATTTAAACCAGTCAAGGTGGGTCCCCACCTCATCCAAGCCCAGCTCTGAGTCTGTGAGACGTGGCCGTGTGTGTGTGTGTGTGTGTGTGTGTGTGTGTGTGTGTGTCGGGGTGGGAGCTCACCTGCAGCGAGCAGAAGGCCTGGGTAAAGGGATGATGGCCGAGGAGTAGTGAGTACAGTAGTGGCACTGGACGGTCATGTCTCCTGCAAGAGAGGACAGGCCTGTGGTGTTCCCGCCTGTGCTGGGCAGGCGCAGACGGACCACGTGGCGCTCAGGAATGATCAGTGAGCATAAGTCCTGCCCGAGAGAACCTGCAGGCCGTGGTGCCCGGGGTCTGCGCACAGGTGCCCTGACAGCTTGGCCAACGGCCGCCCCTGGTGAAAAGCCCATTCAAGCCCCTCAGCTGCACCACCCCCATCAAAGCAAGACAGGAAAATTCCTTCTAAAAATGCATGCACTCAGTAAGTGAATAGGCATAAGGAAAACGTCAGGGCACAGGGCAGAGGAGCGGGCAGGACTGTACAGGTGCCCAGCGGGCGAACCACGTCTGGGCTCTAACATGCAAGGTGATGATCTCGTGCTCGAGCTCCCTGGGGGTCAGGGTCCTGTTGGAGATGGACCGCTGTTTGTATGCGTGCAGGCTGGCCTGGGCTGGAGGGGAAGCTGAGCAGAAGGTCCTCTCCTGTCTTCCTGCCCTGGCGCACGGAGCATGGTGCACAGCACACGATACAGGGGTGTGAGCTCAGCACACTGCTTCTCGGCCTGGCTGTAGCCCAGACTTCCTAACGCAGGATTTCTAGAGATGGGGCCGGACTCAGTAGCTTTAAAAGCTCTCCCGGTGATTCTTGCTCATAGCCAGGGTTAGGCCAGGGGATGAGAGAGCTCTCTATTCAAGCATAATTATTCGAAGGCTGGTATCCATGGTCCTTTCAATGAAGTGCATTGCAGAGAACAATGAGCTGGCATCTACCCACCTTCCGTCTTCTCCACTTCTTTAAACCTCTGGATGAACTTCAGCCTTCTTTCCTTCGTCTGAGCGCCCATGGGCTTTGAAAGGTCCCGAAACGTCTTGGGGTTTGTCAAGTTCAATGTCTGAAAGGCAGATGTGCAGCTGGAGTTAACTCCCCGAGACCCTTGCGTGCCCCGGTGAGACTTCAGGAGACACGCTCTGTAGTTTTATGGTTCTCTTCACTGGTTGAGTGTCGTTTGGTCTGACCCCCTCTGGTGATTAGCCGGGGAGCGGGGGTTTAGGGCACTGGAGCCAGTGATCCACAGGCTTAAGAGGAGGGAGATGGAAAAGGAGAGGAGGGGAAGGAGGGAGATGGAAAAGGAGAGGGTAGGGAAGGGGAAAGAGGGAGATGGAAAAGGAGAGGAGGGAAGATTGCCTTCACACTGAACCTGTTCCCAGTTGACTTTCAAAAGAAACCCTGTTGTCTACGAGGCACTGGGCACAGCCCTCGGAACAGTTTGCTTCAAGTAGGAAGTGAGAAGTGGTCTGTTTGGGGAGAAAAGTGGAGGGACAGCCTCATCTCTGTGGAGGACACGCCCCTCCCCTGCCCTTGGGAGCACACAGCGGTGGCCTGAGAGGGTGCAGGCCAGGTGTCCCCAATGTTTCCTTTTAGCAGAGATGCTCTGTGTCAGCAGAAGAGCCGTGTGCCTCCCGGGCTTGCACATCTGTATGGAGGTGTTTATGCCCCAACTCCTTGTCACTGGCCATCCCCCCGGGGGAGGCAGGGCCTGTGCCACCTCACAGCTGCAGAGCCAGGCTGGCCAGAGGGAAGAGGCTCTCCTGAGACCCCAAGTGCCACAAGTGGACACCCTCACTCAGCGGCCACATCTCCTGATTCTCCAAATGATACTTAAGAGATCCAGATTTGGGGGAGAAATCTCTCCGTTTTTAAATGCAGTAAAGTATCACAATTTGGGGCTGCACAAAGGGGCTGGTAAACCAGCACTTTGTAAAATGTGAGTTAAAGGTGCAATTTGCAAGATTCATGTTTGAAATACCTCAGCTCAGGTGATCATTAGGGCAAGAAGAAGCAACATTTGGCTGGTGAGGAAAGTTGTTCTGCACTGAATGTCTTAAGTGGGGATGGGAGGTTTCAAAAACAGAGCCCCCACCCTCCCCCCACCCCCAAATCCTGAGGGCCAGACATCCCGCAGCCAAGCAGGACCCGGACACCTCCTGCCCCTTTCACACGAGTCTCCTGAGGGCCAGCAGGCGGCAGGGGCACTGCTCCACGCAGGCTCCTCCCCCGTGGCGTCACCGTGGCCCACTGTCAGCCTTCCTCCTTCCCTCCCCTGCCTGCTGAGGGCCAGGAATGGGCGCCATGAAGGGCACCACGGGGTCTCGCCCTGCACCTCCCCTGTCGCCACCTCAGTCCAGATGCTGGGTGCAGTGCACACCACCACCTCCTACTGAAGTTGGGCCACAGTGGAATGGCTCATGCTTCTCTCTTGCTCTCCTCCCCCCCTCCCCCATACACACACAGGCGGAGTGCAGGGACAGGCCCGTGGCCACACCTGAAGGGCAGTGTGGTCCATGGCATTGTCTCAGCAGATGAGCATCGTCCTTCCAGGAGGGCCTAAGCCAGGACGCCCTCTGGGCCTGTTAGCTTTGTCCTAGCCTTGTCCATCAGCTCACAGGTAGGTCACCTTCCCACAGGGGACTGGACAGGAGCCCAGACAGCTGGACTCAGAGGCCTCGTCCAGGGCGAAGGGCCGCGCTGAGGAACCTGGGGCCCAGGTGGGCTGAGCCTTGCAGTGGAGGCTCTGCTCACTGACTTCGGAGCCTCGATTGTCCAGGGTCCGGGGCCTCGGCCCCTGCAGGCCCCTGCGAACACATACCTGTGAGGTGTAGTCAGCCAACACCCAGGGGAACACAGGGTACTGCATGTAGTCGTTGTGGGTCCTCCCAGCCAGCGTGTTGAGGTGCATGAGGTACTCAAAATTGCTGATGTCCCTTTTCTGCCGGAAGAGACAGAGAGGTCGGGCCTGGTCTGGCTCTCAGCCCTGAGGAGCCGCTTGCTGCGGGTGAGCATCAGCGGACGCCCCACGGGCTTCCCGCACCCCGTGCGCCAGCCGGTCAGCTCAGGGCCGTATATCCCACAGGAGCTGCAGCAATCACAGCTGGAAGCAGAGCCTCGGACAGTGCGGTCCGCAGCCCAGAGGCCAGGAGGAAGCATGTGTTAGCTTTGGGTGTGATTCTCCCGAGTGGGTTAAGACACAAAGGCGTGTGGGAGAACTGACTGCGACACGTGCACTTAGACAGCTGAGGGGACTTTGTGGTCACAGAGAAAGGCCTCAGCAGTGGGCTCAGGACCCGTCCCCTGGGCCTTTAGGAATTCCCTCTTCCCTGTCCTTTAAGATAACTCTCACCCTTAGGGCCTCAGACAGTCACCGATGGAGACAGGGACTGCATTTGGGGAAAGTTCCCATGGCCTCCTGGCGAATGAGCAGCCACTGTGCCAGTCCCAGGCCTCCTCTGCAGGCCGTGGTCTCTCCTTGCCTTGGCTTGCTCCCCAGCGACCAGCCATGACCTTGTGACCCTGGGCAGGGCCCTTTGGGGTCCCTTCCTTTCACCTAGAACCCTGGGCTCAATTCAGCACCTCCCTGCTGGGAGCCATGGGTGTCTTCCAGGACTAGAGGTGAGTGCTGTATCCTCCTGAGTTGACATGTGTGTACACCCTCCTGGACAGAATGTGTGTGTGCACACAGGGCACATGTACATGCTCACACACGCACTCCTAGCTGCTACTCCACGGCTCCAGGTTCTCCTTAAATCACAGAGATCTTTTCAGAAAATTATTTGGGGCATTTGGTAAATTAAATGTAGAAGAACCCTCCTGATTCAGCCACATGCTTTCTCTCCATCACTGGGGCCTGAGCTATTTTCTGATTTGCATTCCCGAAGGGTTTCCTCAAACCCAGAGTCCTCTGAGGGGTCACTGTACCTGCCACCTCTGCAGCATGGTCCTGTCGGAGCCGGGGTACCTCCTGTGGGACAGAAAACAATGCTGGTGACCAAACATCTCAGGCATGGGTGGGGGGTGCTGCTGGGGCTGTGCGGGCCCAGGGCACTCAGGAGAGCCTCAAACTGCCCGGTCCAGAGCAAGCTCTTCTTGCCCACCTGCCCTACTGACGGTGAGGGCCTGGCAGCCTCTGTCACACTTGTGTGGCCCTTATGCCAGAAGATGCCGCTGCCATAAGTGCGGCCCATGTAGAGCCCCAGCGAAGGGCAGAGTGAGCTCAGGGGCCTCACATTTCACAAGGATTTCCCACAGACACCTCGACCTTCTTTGCCCTTGTGAATATAATGATTGACATGTGAATACAATATATGTATATAGTTAAATGCAAACAATATAGCCCTGGCCAGTGTAGCACAATGGATAGAGCATTGGCCTGAGCACTGAAGGGTTGAGGTTTCAATTCCCAGTCAAGGGCATGTACCTGTCAACGGTTGTGGTTTGCTTCCCACCCCTGGATGGGGCGTGTGCAGGAGGCAACCAGTCGATGTGTGTGTCTCACTCTCTCCCTCCTTTCCTCCTCCAAAAAAAGCAAAGAATATAAAATCTATATATATAAAGACCAGGGGCCGTCACATCTGAAACAACCGAACGAACGACCGAGCAGACGGTGTGGGGCAACAAGGCCGGCAGGGGGGTTAGTGAGGGATGACCAGGCCAGCAGGGGGGGGGAGTTGAGGGCAACCAGGCCAGTAGGGAGGGCCGTGAGGGGCAACCAAGCTGGCAAGGAGGGCAGTTGGGGTGACCAGTCTGGCAGGGGATGGGTAGTGAGGGGTGACCAGGCTGGAGGGGGAGGGAAGTTGGAGGTGACCAGGCCAGCAAGGGGGGCAGTTGGGGGCAACCAGGCCGACGGGGGGGGCAGTTAGGGGTGATCAGGCTGGCAGGGGAGCCAGTTAGGGGAGATCAGGCAGGCAGGCAGGTGAGCAGTTAGGAGCCAGTGGTCCTGGATTGTGAGAGGGATGTCCTGGATTGGAGAGGGTGCAGGCTGAGCTGAGGGGATCCACCCCCACCCCATGCATGAATTTTGTTCACCGGGCCTCTAGTGTGAATATAAAATAAGAGTTTCCAAACTGCCTCTCCATTCAAGCAGTATCCACAGTTAACAGTCTCCGGGAGTTTTCTGTATGCTCGCCTGGTTTTAAACGGCTGATAAATGGGGTTGTCTCCTCCGTGCAGGCCCCACCTGCCTCATGGGCTGACACCCTGAGGAGCCTGTCCCTTCTCCAGCTGGGGGTTAGCCTGCCTCTGCGCTGGGTTTTGTCCTCACAACTCATGTTTCTGCGACCACCTTCAGACACCCCTTTCTGGATACTTGGTATCTCTGTGAGATAAATTTCTGGCAGGGGAAACACTGGCTAAAAGTCTGAGCATTTTCAAGTTTTCCACATATTGCCAAATTGTCCTCTTAAAGGGCTGTGTCGATTTATGTTTCTACAAATACAAATAAGAATACAAATTGAACCCGGGCAACACCACCTTAGACCAGTGTGGCAGCGGCGGTGGCGGTGGAGGGAGTGGGAGGGACCCTTCTCCATGCGAAGCCCTCCTGCTCAGCAGGGATTTGCAGAGCCCTCCCCCCCATGGGCTGGCACCCTGGACTCCTTTTCCATTTCTGTTTCTTTCCTCTCTGTCTCCTCGCTCACATGTTCCACCAAACCCAACCCAATTGTGCCTCCTTCCAGCCATGTCCTCTGCCTCAATGCTGTTCAGGCGCCACAGACCCCACCCACATGCACTCTCCGTCCCACCTGGCGGGCTGGGACAGGTTCCTGGAGGCTCTGCCTAGACAAGGCCTGACCGCCCAGTGCCCAGCAGGGGCAGCGCCTCCGCTCCCATCGCAGACAGCTGCCAGCCCCCTGTCCCGGCTCCCTGCCCCTCCTCACGCCGTTCTTTCCTTATCAGGTTCTCTATACACAGAAAGCAACTCCCAGGCTGGGATTCACCTCTTCCCCAACTGAGAAATCATCTATTCGGTCCAACTAGTCGAGGCGAACAACAGAGAGAAAACATGGTAATTTTTCTTTAGTTTGCAAAGGCTCACGTGAAGGTTGGGTTCTCCTGCCGTCTGTGGCCTGCCTCCTACCCCATTCCCATGGCAGGCCCTCTGAAGGCTCCGACGAGGGCGGAGCCGGGCTGGAGACAGAGGGTCACTCCTCGGAAAGGACCTGTGCTGAGCCTTCCAAGGATGTGGAGCTGAGCTACCAGCTCGTGGAGCTGGAATGGCAAATACCAACTGCTCATCTTGCTGCGTTTCCTTAGGAGCCGGAGAGGGGAGTGGGACTAGAGAAGCGCAATGGGCCTGCTAGGGCCCAAGAAAGGAGAGCGAGCCCCTGTCATCGCCCTTTCAGAAGGTTCTAGAATGTTACCTGTTCTCTATGACATTGCCATCTGGTGGGATGTGTGAGGAGATAAAGGCGCTTCACCATCCCCTTCCTCATTTCATCGGCTATGAGCTCCAATAAAGAGTCCTCATTTTGTTGCCATCAAAAAAGGTGCTATTACCAGAAGTGGCAAACGCCTAACTGAAGGTGAGCTCTATTTTTTAGAAAATTTTTTTAAAAAAATCACATTAATCTGAAGGCAATCACTCTTGAAATGGTCTATGCGAATTTTGTAACTATCTGGTAATTAGCACTTTAGCAGCTGATACGCTGCGTTGTTTCATCAATATAGTGAGCGTTTTAGACTGAACTGGTGCCGGAGATGGCTCTTGACTTTCCAAAGCTCCCCCCCGTCTGGGCAGCAGCGGCAGAGCGCACTGGCACTGGTGAAAGAACCCGGGTCCGAGTCCTGCTCACCGAGAAGACGGAAACCACGGGAGAAGGTCACTCATCTGGTCCAATGGGAACTGGTGTCTGGAAGGGTGTGGACTCCGCCCCAGGACGGCACGTGTCTGCGGCGCCTGGGCCACCTTTCACCTGCGCGAGGCTCCGGGAAGGGGCGCGTTTGCTGACAGAGGCCGAGGGGCTGTCTGTGGCATAAGCAAGTTCTCCACGAGGGGCCAAGAGACGGTCCTAGAAACACACTCCCTCTACTTTCTTCCTCCGAGAAGCAAATTTGGGTTCGCCTCGTTCTCAAATCCAGGTTGTAGGTCAATAGAAATCCACAAAGAGACAGACGCTGTTGCAAACCAGAGATGTCCTCGCCTCCACAGGGGCAACTTCCTGACTTCACTTCTCTAACATGTAGGAATCTTACACAGTTCTAGACAATACAACAGCAACAGCTGTCTAAAGCACTACAGACTGCAGACTCTTTTTGCCTAATATCCATGCCGAAGAGAACATGGAAGAGGAGGGTGAGGGGTGACGTGCAGGGAAATTGGCCAAGGCGGGCTGGAGGCACCCGAGGCCCGGCACAGAGCAGGTGCCGTGACCTCCCGATACATCCTGTGCAGGGCACCTGCCAGACCCAACCTTGAGCAAAGGCCCTGGCTCCGGAGTCGAGCTCCATCCTCTGAAGAGGAAAAGAAAATAAGAGCAAACAGGGTGACAACAAAAACACTTAGTTCCAGAGTCACCTGACAAACTAGTGATTTGTCTACGTTCGGAGTTAAGCGAGCATTAGAAAATCGCCAAATTATTATTGCACACCTGTGCCATAAACAATGTCGTACAAGTATTGACAGTCTGGAAGGTTACACAGCACGTTACCTCTAGATGATGAAATTGTGTGGCTTTAATTTTTATAAGGTTTTATATATCTGCATTTTAAAATGTATTTATCGTCTTGTGTATTTTCTTCCTTAAAATATTTATTTTTCATTATATGTGTTTTATAATTTTCATGTTATTTATTTTCTAATTTAAAGTCTGTACTTTTATGAATATTCCAATTAGAAATACACTATGTAGTAGGATTTCAGGTCATTAAAAATTATCTATTTATCTGAATTTGTTAATTATTTTATTTTTACTTTTTAAAAATATTTTTTTATTGATTTCAGAGGAAGGGAGAGGGAGAGAGAGATAGAAACATCAATGATGAGAGAGAATCATTGATTGGCTGCCTCCTACATGCCCCCCACTGGGGATCAAGCCCGCAACCCAGGCATGTGCCCTTGAATGGAATTGAACCCGGGCCCCTTCAGTCCCCAGGCCAATGCTCTATCCACTGAGCCAAACCAGCCAGGGCTAATTATTTTATATTTTTTAAAAATATATGTTTAATTAATTTTGAGAGAGAGAGAAAAAAAGGGAGAGGGAGAGAGGGAGAGCAAAACATTGATTGGCTGCCTCCTGCACACCTTCTACCAGAGATCAAGCCTGCAACCTGGGCATGTGCCCTGACCGGCAACCTTTTGGTGCATGGCGCTCTATCCACTGAGCCAAACCAGTTTTGGCAAGGGCTAATTATTTTATATTTTTTAAAAAATATGTTTAATTAATTTTGAGAGAGAGAGAAAAAAAGGGAGAGGGAGAGAGGGAGAGCAAAACATTGATTGGCCGCCTCCTGCACACCTTCTACCAGAGATCAAGCCTGCAACCTGGGCATGTGCCCTGACCGGCAACCTTTTGGTGCATGGGACGATACCCAACCAACTGAGCCACACTGGCCAGGGCAATTTGCTAATTATTTTAAATCCATTTATTGTCTAAATTAAATAATATTTTATTTTCATTTTGCATTAAACAAGACAGTGGTGGGGTAATGTATATACACTTTTTATGTATTTAATATTTGCATTTAAAGTTTTTATTAACTGTATTTCTAGTTTAATGATTTATTATATGTTTCCTTTAAAATATTTCATTTTGCTTTTTTGTACTTTCCAAAATTTGTATTGCTTAGATTAATTTTGCATTCCAAATTATTTATTTGCTAATTATTTTACTTACTTCCCAATTCTATCTAGATAGTATAATTTAGAGTATTTTTATTTTTTAATTTGTATATATGCATTTTCTAATTTTTCTACAATGTTATTTTATTATTTGCATAATAATTTGAATAGTTATCCTTTTTTAA